GCTGTCATGGAGGCCACGCGCCGAGGGCGCCCGGCCCCGCCATCCCGGAGCTCCGGGGGCCCTGCCTCGGCGTCCGCCAGCCTCCCCTGCTCAGGCCTGGCTGGGCTCCAGCAGGGCGAGGGGGGCCCGGAGGGTCCGGCGGCGCAGCGAGGGCTGCAGGGAGAGGGTTACTGGTTCCTTGCAGGTCGGGCGCCCTCACCGGTGGGTGGGTGTGGCTTGCGCAGGCGGGGGTGGCTGGGTGCGGGGGGACTTTGGGCTTCAGGACTGGCGCTGAAGAGAAAGCGCCCGATGTTCTGAGCAGCGGGGTCAGCCGGGGACTTGGGTGGGGGAGTAGCTAAAAGATGGGGGTGCTGCCAGGAAAGGGGGGCAAGAGAGGCACAGGAGAGCTCTCATACTCGTCCCCCCACCCAGCGTACACACACACACACACACACACACACACACACACAAGCGCGCGCGCGCTGGGACATGAGCTGACAGTCTCTCATGAAGAAACCATCGCACATCCCCAAAGAGTCGTAGAATCTCAGACTTGTGGAACTAGAGAGCAATGAGCAGCCCGCTTGTTCCCGAGATGAAGAAATTAGGATCCAATAGGCTGCGTGGTTCGCTCCAAATCCCCTCACGTCGCCGTCCCCACTGACTCCCACTCGGTTCTGTCCCGGAAAAGCAGAGGACCTCTACAATGAGTGGGGGGTGGGGGGGGTGGTCGTGATGAGACATGTGGAGGCTGGGCAGGGAGGGCAAGGACCGAGCTAGTGACAGCTCCACTCGTGGCTTCCAGGTTGGCCTGCTAACCACACAGTCATTGCTTCAAAGCCACCAGCTCCTCCCGAGGAAGATGAAGCTTTCTTTCGGTTCTTGTCAAAGATGTACAGGCTTGGATACTCACAAAGGCAGTTCTACTCTGTCCCATAGGTTGTGTTTTCTGGTTCTGAGAAGGGTACCCTTAGGCCAGGCTCCCTAATTCATTGTATGTGTCTGCTCCAATCTACCTCTCCCCACAAAACTCCCCCTCACTGCCTGCCCCACCTCCACAGGGAGACTGTTCAGGGCTACTGCTTCCCTCTGTCTACTTGGGGTTTCACTTTGGTAGTTCAGTGGGGAGTGTTTGTGTAAAGTACTCACGTTGGCATTTGGACTGTTTCAGGGTTGAGGATGGAGTAAGGGGTCTGCCTGCAGGCTGCAGCCCTTCCCCAGGACAAATGCCCTTTGGTTCCAGGCATTGTCTAGCTGACTATTCTGTGGGTATTGGTTTTCTACCCGGGGTTGTAAAATAGACATACCTGTGTGATAGAAATGAATATTGAAAATTATGATGACCCAGAGCTCGCAAACTCGTCTTCCTGGGTTTGCTAAAAGGGGATGTGCTAGACCGGGTGGACTAGAGAAACAAATCCAGAGACACTCATATGTGTGTAACAGAGAGTTTTGGATCAGAGAGTAATTGTACACTAAGAAAACATCCCAGCCCAGTCCAGATCCCGTCCATAAAACCGTTATTAGCCCAAATGTCCGATACTGGTCTATAAAGTCCTCTCCAGACGCATGTAGCACATACAATGATGCAGACTGCCGGAGGATCACAGGCCGGTGGGTGAGAAGTGCTGTGGATCCAGTGACTGTGCAAGCGTCCCAGCGCTCTGGCTGCCATCAACGTGGCTCCGTGTGGCTGGTCAACGGGCATGTGAAGCAGAGAGAGTGGGTCCAGCCTCCAGTGAGCTATTCATCTCGATTGCACCTCCAAATGAGGTCATCAAGTTGAACCTGATTGACAGGCTAAACTCCACCCCTTCACTCTCAATGCCCTCAAGTTGACAGGAGATTATGTAACTACCAGAGGGGAGTTAGGAATTGCCTGGGCAAATAAAAAAAAGAAAGAAAAGAAAGGTGGGGGGGGGGGCGGGTACCTTTTGATTGAAGCCAAGGCAGAGTAAGGGGCCTAAGACGGAAAAGCTGAGCTTCACCCAAACCCTGGCGCACCAGGACATTCGTGTTTGAAAAGACATGCTGCTGAGGGAATAAGATTTGCTTGTGAAGGAGAGACCTGCAACATGAGTGGGCTGGGGATTGCAGACTAGAGAAACAAATCCATGGGGACTCATGTGTATGAGAAAGAGCTTTATATACAAGAGCAGTTGCATATTGAGAAAACATCCCAGCCCAGTCCAGCTCAAGTTCTTAAGTCCGATATTAACCCATATGTCCAATACCAATCTATAAAGTCCTCTTCAGACTCACAAAACATGTACAATGACACCGAATGCAGGAAATCACAGGCCAGTGGGTGGGAAGTCTTGTGGGTCCAGTGGCGTTGTAAGCACCTAAGCGCTGGCAGGGATCTCCATGTGGTTCCTGCAGTTCCCAGGGGCACAGGGTCTATCAGTGTAGTGCCATGTGTCTTGTCAGTAGTGTCCCACTGGGAATGAGTAGAGAGAGAGTGTGTCCCCCACCACCAAGGAGGAGAAATACCGGAGTTCCCAGAATTCCCAGGAGCAGGCCATGCCCACACCCGAGGCCTTATTAGCTATAACTCGATTGACAAACTAGACTTCACCCCTTCACTCTTAATCCTCTCAATTGACACCAGATTATGTAACTACCACACTGGTCTTTTGAATTTTGAGCAAGCAGTTTGCCTTTCGATGTATAGTTGACAGGAAAAAGTCTATGCCCATCAGAGAAAACCCCCTTCTATGACTGACTGCACCAGCAAAGGGGCTGGTGAGCAGCCAGGTATCCTGCCGATGTTGACCACCTGGCCCACCTGTTGAGTGCAGTGGGGAAAGAGAGCAGTGAAGAGATCAGCTGAGCTTGGATATGTTCCATTGGCACTAGTTGACCTGCTTCACAGAGGCTAACGAAGAGAGATTTGTGTGAATTCTGAGCCTATGGGCAGGATCTAGCTGCGGGGCTCCGGCTGAGGTGAAGAAGCCAGCTTGTGTAGAGTGTAAGGGGGGTGTGCTTGGCTTCCTAAGTTTGCTGTTGGTATCCATTTGACCTAGAAGACTGTTAGGGCTGAGTGTCCAGAACCTGACCGGAAGAAAAGAGAAAGATGTTGGACACTGTGAGCTGGTGCACATTGCTGCCAGTCTTGGTGGCTGGGCCACTCTAGGCTGGACTTTGCTTATAGTTACCAAGGATCAAAGTTCCAAATGGAATGATGATTTGTCACATCAAAAAACTGCTGCCTCCTCAGAGTACTGGGTTGATAAACTCACTGCCATTTAGTGGATTCCCACCTAGAGCATCCTTATAGGGTAGGGTGGAACTGCCTGTAAATCTTTTTGTTGTTGTTGTTTAGGGAGGCAATTTTGTTTATTGTCAGAGACCAAGAAATGCTCTAGACAAGTGGGAATGACCTACAAAAGGCGGGTGAGGTGGGAGGAGGCACAGGCACACACAGCACGATAATTGGCACGAGCTGTAGCTCTACATTGTGGCACATGAACCAGGCAGAGATAGCCATCCTTTTCACAAAGGCTATAAAGGATTGGGAAGGCCGCCCATCATTAGTTCTTACGGGGCAGGCAGAGGAGGAGGATGCTTTTAGCTGGTGTGCGAAGCCATGCATGGTTGGGTGAAGTTCCACCCCAACTAAGGAATGGATGCGGAAGGTGGTCCATGGCTGCCAGGGGGCTGGCCCGGGCTCCTTAGGTCCGGGATCCCTCTTGGTTCTCAAGGATTAGCTTGTCCGTGGAACACAGTTGGCCGATGTGAACCTGTTGACTAATTATTCCCAGGTCTCTTTTGGCTTGATTCACCAAG